TATAGTCTTATCCTTAACAGTATACACTATCTTACCTCCCTGAAGTCTTTCCTCGGAATAGCCTATGAAAAGGTCCTATTTAACCTAAAATGACAATCCTGGACCAGCTCATCCTTCCCTGTCAGGTTCCCACCTGATACAGTTAACAGTATACTGTATGTCTTACTGATTTGTCTTTTTTGTTTTCTGTTTTCTTCACTACAGTGCTAAGTATCTTACTTTATCTCCAAGACCAAAACCAGAACAGTTTTTGGTTAGCACATAGTGGTTTTTTATTAAACATATAAAGTAATTTTTAAGAATACATCAAAATAAATATCATCTCCATATTACAGTTTAGTGGTCAAATGTTAGATTGTAAAAAGTTCCTTAGGTGAGTAACACAGGTGGAGTTTAAGCCCAAGTCTGGATGCTCAGACCCACTCCTCTTCCCATGTCTCCTTGCTCATTTCACTTACACTCTTCACCCTGCAGGGATAGAATTATTGCCCCTTCACCTGCCTCACCAAGAATCACACCAGATTATGCAACCAGACTATATAAAAATATTCTGAAAACATCAAAGTATCTCACGTGTGCAAAGGTAGTGGTAGTTCTCCATTTTCTTATAAAAATGTATCGTTGTTCTGTTTACATTTCAGTCTTGGGCCACTTCAGATGACTGTGTCTGAGGTGGCAGCTGAGGCTCTTGTCTTTCTCCCTATGTGGATATCCAGTTGTTCTGGCAGCATTTGTTGAAAAGACCGTCTTTTCCTCAATTTTACCTTTTTTTTTTTTTAATAATAAGTAGTATGTCTCTGGCTATGTTTCAGTTTGTGGGTGTTTGATAAAGATTACAAAAGTGAAAGAATAGTACACCTTTTGCTTTCCCACCAATATTATAAAATTCTACATTTATATACATATCCATTTATTTTGCTGAGGCCAGTTTTCTATTTCTTAGAAATGAGTAAAGTATTTTCTAAAGGGACATTTACTACTCTCTCTATTGTTTGTCTCAACTAGGAAATGGAAGAGATACAAAATTATCCTATTGGTGTATTAGAAGACCCAGTAGCACTAAGTTCTTAATTCTTCCCAAGTTGCTCTCCAGCTGCAGCATGATGCCAGTCACAGTATGAGCAGATAGAAGTTTAGAAATTGGCATACTAATGTGACCATTGATATGGAAGTACAGTGGCTAACTACTTATAGTCCCTGACATTTGAAGCCAGGTGTGGTAGTACACACCTATAATCACAGTCCTTCAGAGGTAAAGTCAGGAGTGTCAGGAGTTCGAGGTCAGCCTGGGCTACCAGATTCCCTATCTCAGGCAGGAATTTTAAAAGGAAAAGAAGAGAGAAAAAAGAAGAAGAAGAAGAAAATAAAGAGACAATTTTGTAGGAAAAATAGCAAAGTTGGAGTTTAGTTGAAGATTTTAATTTTACTATGAGACCATAGTAATCAAGAGAGTGTGGTATTTGTATAACTATACTCATATAAATCATTGTGGAAGAAAAGATGTAGCTTAGATATAGCTCTAATTTACATATTTTCCTCATTTGATTTTCTTTAAGCAAGGTGCTAATGTAATTCATGAAGACAGTTCTTCAACAAATGTTGCTGTAACAGCTTGATATTCATATAGAAAAACTAAACCATTAACTGTTAGTTGCCACAAAACAAACATTTGAAATGGATTAAAAACAAAAATCTACTATTTTCAATAGCAAAGGAGAAAATCCTTGTAGTATAAAAATAGGCATCAATTTCTTAGAACACACAAGGTAAGGGAAAGAAAGAAAAGAAATGGCTTGAAGTACATCAAAATTCAACATTAGTTTTCATCCAGACACTGTTAAGAAAATAAAAATTTGTCTGGGGACATGTACTACCTAGCCTGTGTAAGACCTGGGTTCAGACCCCAGGATCACAGGCAAAGATAGATGAACAAAAGAAAATGAAAGGACAAGTTACAGTCTTGAAGAAAATGTTTGCAAACATATCTGATAAAAAGTCTTCAAGGCATATGAAGAACTGTTAAAGTCAATAATACAGCATAGGGACTAGAGAGATGATTCCACACTTAAGAGCACCAGATGCTCTTCCAGAGGTCCCAAGTTAATTCCAAACGCCCATGACTATCTTAACTCTAGTCCAGTGTATCTGAAACCTTTTTCTGGACTTCTCAGACACCAGGCATACATGTGATGTGCAGGCAAAACACCTATATTATAATAATAATTAATAATAATAATATAATACATGCAGGCAAAATACCTATATAGTAATAATACAATAAATGCATATGAAACACCTATACTATAATAATATAATACATGCAAGCAAAATGCCTATATAATAATAATATACATGCATGCAAAACACCTATAGAATAATAAAAAAAACCAACACAACATACCATTCAATGTGCCACAGAAACTGGATGTGGTGGCATTTATAATCCCTGCCCTTCAGAGGCCAAGGAAAGAGGATCAAGAATTTGAGTGCTATGTCAGCATTGTAGTGAGAGCCCGTCACAGAAAAAGGATGGAAGAAGTATGGGTTCAAAACACTTTCTTAAAGGTGTTATATGCAAGGCCAGTAAGTACATGCAAACATTTCACAGCTACACACCAGGGAATGGTATCTTCAGACTATGATGGGAGCTAGCAACCCATCCCATCAAAATGCCCATTTTCCAAACCCATCCCATCAAAA